TCCTTGCAAAATTTATTTTAATATAAAAATTTATAAATAGTTGCAACTAGCTAAAAATTTTAAAATTAATTACAGCTTCATCTTTAATCATATCGTTTGCTATGGTTGGCCGCTTTGGCAATCGTTATGGAAAGGCATGACGTATAATACATCACGTGAAAAGTATTGTTACTTGGTAGATATAGCGATAATGAAGCTATGTGGTAGGACTCTTAATTGGACAAAACACTGGCAACAATCTGGAATTGCCCTGCTGGCTTGTACTACTTGCATTTATGTCTGTCCTCTGTCATGCATGGCAAGGGACCTAGTCAAATCGCATATGACAACAATAATCACTGTCGATGATTCTGACAAGAAGAATCTAATTGGATACCGATCGGAACCAATGTTATCAGAGGTAGCATTAACACTATTATCGAGAGCTGGCATTGAACTCGATGTGCTAAAAGAATTAGGTTCCGTTGAAAAAGAAGGTGGGGTAATTGATACAGGTAATCAAGGAGAGATTTGTACAAGGATACTACTGTTAAGTGCGAGGCGTCGGCAGATTCTATCCTTTAGGAAGCATTGTAAGGTGTGTATTATAAGTATCTCGTTTATATATAGTAGTTAAAAAAAAGTGATCCGTAAAAAATTTACTTATCTTTTTTTTTATATACAGAGTTACCCGGCGTTTTTCACCCACCTATCAGTCACAGCTTACTTACAAGAATTGTTCTCCACAGAGTTTTCTCATCAAAACTTTAAACATCTGGAAGCATATGATATCAGATTTACTCATTTCATCGCACTTAAGCACACACCAGATGAATCTACACTGCAGCTCTGTTGGGATCGAGATGCTGCTATCATATACTAATGCAACTAGCCGGATGTGAATCTAGCAATAGTCATGTACCACCGATACGAGAAAAAGCTTGCAATATTAAATATACAAGTATTCACTTTTTTTATTCTCAACTGCAACCATTATATCATGCTCTGAAAGATATGGTCAAAAATCATGCAAGACCCGAAAGCAAAAGTGTATTGAATTATGCTATTGGTGATGGACTCAGGACATCAACGACGCTGTGTGAAACATGTGTACATGTCGAGAATGATTCTATTGGTATGTATATTCAAATTGGTAAGCTAACGGAAATTTATTTTTACTCTTTGCAATCAATTTTATTAATTTTCTTTATGAACTGAATAGGCGAAGCATATGTGAATAAACCACAATTTAAGACATACTACTATGGTAAAGGAACCAATCAGAGTAAAGGGATGAAGTTGAGCTTTGTTAAAAAAGCAAATAGGTTGATAGTTCTTGGATTGGGTTGCTTCAAGCTTGATCAGAAATATCATGAAGTAATCCAGAGTCTTCTGCATTTTTAGAATGATATACCGACAATCTGTAGGCCAACAGAGTTCAAGTTTATTTGTAAGACATTCCCAGTTATATATAGTCCTCATGCTATTAAAAGGTAACATAATGTATCCCCTTTTCTCTACAATATAAGACCTCAACTAATTTGAATATTGCGATAGGGCGAAGCTTATCAATGATGACAATGATGAAGATGCCAAGAATTACTTAATTAATAAGAAATGGAAATCTGACGAATTGGTGAAACAGTATGAGGAAATAGAAGAGGGTATATATAGTTATGCTGAATGATGTGAGTAAATTATACATAATAATATGGCTGCTTAAATAAGAAACTTTAGTCTTAAAAGAATGTAAGAACTTTTTTTTATACACTAACATTGACAATTTTAGTCTCAATAATTGTTGACAGAAAGTAATATCTTTCTGTGATAGCATACTGAGTGATCATTAATAAATTATTATTATGAATTCATTTGCAAAAATTAACACTTTATTATTTTTTTTATTAATTTATTGCTAAATTTTTGCAAATTAATAAAAATTGTTTAAGTATTGTTTAATTTCTAATCTGATATATTAAATAAGCTTTTTATTATTTAAATTGTTTAATTTCAATTATCTATAAATGCATTAAATACGCTTTTTTGAAATGCATTATCTTTTTATAGATTATATTCTAAATAAATCATTTTTGAAAATTTAATCTATAAAGATATATAAAAATTAATTAATTATGCTTTAAAATAAATCTTTATAAATTAATAGAAAAAATTTTTTTTTTTTTTAGAAATAAAATTTATGAATTTTACTCATTTAATAATATGGGAGCTAGGCTATTAAAAATAAGTTACAAAACTAGTAATCTAAATATAGTTATGTTATAATACTTAGCCAATAAAAAATTGCACTAAAAATAATATTGAACCATAGATGACGATTGACAAAAACCTAAAAACATGAGTAAAAGTTTCAAAAATTAATTCATAAAATTAAGTATTGGTTTAAAAACTTATGCTTAATAACTTCCTTATAACATCCTTTATATTTTAATATTAGTTTATAATTTTTAATAAGATGATTATAGAGGGAGTAGTATCCTTAACTCAGTGTTTAATTCATAAGCTTTCTGTAACATCAGGAATATTTTTAATGTGAAGTATTGTATAAGGTTTACAGTTCGTAAATTTATGGGTGTATTACAGTATAAGGTTACGTAAAATTTACGTTTTTGATGTAGTTCTTCGTAAGATTTATGATCTGTGATATTTATACTATACTACAGTCAAAATACTTCGAACAATTTACAGTCTATAAAGTTTGTGTAATACTACAGTCAAAATACTTCGAAAGGTTTATAGTCTATAAAGTTTGTGTAATACTATGATCGAAGTATTTTGAAATGTTTACGGTCTATAATATTTGCATAATACTACAGTTAAAATACTTACAGTCTATAAAATTTGTGTGATATGACAGTTAAAATACTTCAAAAGGTTTACAATTTATGGTCGAAGTACTTCAAAATGTTTACAGTCTATAATATTTGTGTAATGCTACAGTCACAAGGTTATAATACATAATTATTAAACCATTAA